GCGTTACAGGGGGGAGGGGTGGGGGTATAGAGCGAAGCATTACGTGGCGAGTTTAAGTGATTTTTTTTCGAGCTTCTAGAGAAATTCTCGTTGGTCCTCTCCAGAAGATTTGAAGAATCTTGAAAATATTCTCTGTAATACTTTGACTTTTCCTCACTAAATTGGAACGCTAGTCCGTTCAGTAAATGCAAAGTGATATTTTGGTCTTTATTTATCGAAATAGAGGGGAGGGGGAGTCCAGGCGAGCGTTACGGAGCGTTACAGAGGGGTCGGAGGTGTCAAAAAACCTCAAATTTAGCGTCACGTATTTAAGAGACGGCACCTCATTAATATGTACTATATTTTAACCTATGCAGTATTCGCGATCCGTTTAGAGATTTTCTCACCCAAATTTTCTCACCCCCAATCTGTTCACTCCAAAATGATTTATATTTATGAAATAAATATTTACAATTAACTCATCAGAAATAAAAAATAAGTTGACACTTCATCGAATGGTGTCAAAAATGTATTTTCCTCTCCTTTTAAGCGCTCAGCCGATAGGCAGCGCTTTTTGATTTCGACTTGCCTCTGAGTACTAGTATACTAGTGGTAATGCGTTTAAATGGCGCACCTAGAGTCCCTTTATACCCAGAGTTAAGACAACTCACTTTTGGTTGGGCCAGAGTTGGGCTGAAAGTGGCCTAAAAAAAAATCCAATTCTGATTGGTTCTCGCTCATGGAGGCCGAAACGAGTGCACCAAGATGGCTGTACCTCGAATGTGAACAAGAATAATGAAAATATTACCTAATTGTGGTTTATCAAGAGTAAATTGTTATTTCCATCGGTCCAAAATGAAAATAGATTAAGAAATTATTCACAAACCAATCCCATTTTCTGTTTAATTGATCAATTTGTTGATGTTGTTGTTTTTGTGTGACAAACATCGCAGGATTCCTGATCCTTATTCCTCAATATCGTTCGTTTGGGTGCACTCGTTTCGGCTTTCATGGCCAGCCAAGGCCGGCTGCCAGTCAGCTGATAATCGAGTTGTCTTAACTCTGGGTTTAGGGACTCTAGGCGCACCAGCTCATCAATGTGTAGGCTTTTTTGGGGGGGGGGAGGTTCCATTTTTAAAATAAATAAAGCTGTGAAAACTGTATTTTATGCTTTTAACGTAATGCGCAGGTAGTTTCGATCGTTTGTCTATAAGAAAATTTCTTAGCGGTAGAGTAATTCTTATCGAAATTGATCGTTGAACTCAAATGAAGCCTGAAAAAAACGCGCCTGATGAGCTCAACGGTGGCTATATCATTTTCGGGAAACAAAAATACGCGTTTACGGTTTCCTTGGTAACCTTTGTTTGCTATCAGCTGATGTTCTATTTCCATTACCCAGCCAAGTCGACGGAGTTTATACTTCCTTTCTTCACTAAATACATTGACTAACACCTGAGCGCTTTTCTAATACGACAGTATTAGAACTTTCCCGCTTGTTTTTCATTCTAATGCGGAATAGTGTGAAGACGAGCGTATCAAAATCCGAGCGTAATCAGCAAATATTAGTTTGCGTGAACAGCGGTTTCTTGAGTACACATTGTTGAGCAACAGCGCGTAAAAGTTTGTCAAGAGCAAACAAAGGGTGAAACCAACCCCAGTTTCCACCTACCTCACTACCCTAACTTGTTGATTATTCCTGTGGGAACGCAAGGAATATTTCATATTTTGGTGAAATTCTAGATCGGTTACTGGGATCATACGCTGTACTTTCGTGTGAATTCTGCGACAATTTCTGCTGTCTTGCGGAAAAACTCCTCATGACCATTCCAAAGTTGCCGAATTTCTTTCCATAAATTGTATTTTTTCAAAAAGTTACGAACTTTTCAGATGTTTTAGATTAAATTGCGAACAAAATTTCCAAAAAATTTGAGGAAAAATATTCAGAATTTTTCCAGTGAATTTTTTTTATCGGAGAAAATACGGCAACTTCTGAAGACTGATACGGTGTTCTTTCTTGGCACGGCAGTAAAGTTCTGCAGTTTCTTCTTCTTTATATGTCTCCTCCAAAGCCTGCTTCTAATATAACTCCTCTTGTGTTACAGGTCGAAGTGACTTTGTAGGAGGAATTGACAATGAAGCCCTGGATTTTAGTCAACTTGAGGACTATATCAATGATGAGACGGATAGTAGTAACACGTAAGTGCTCAAAAATTTATTTCATCTCCTACACTGGAAAAAAACACATTGGATCTAGAGTCCAGACTCTTGAAAACATTGACAAGAAAAAGGACTCTTGATTCAATCAGATTTAACCTTAAATCAAGAACCAAGCCTCTTAATTTGAGCGGATTTCCTTTTGATTTAAGCTTAAATCTGATAGAATCAAGAGTCCTTTTTCTTATCAATGTTTTCAAGAGTCTGGACTCTAGATCCAATGTGTTTTTTCCAGTGTACTTGTGTATTTTGCATTTTCAATAAAAATAGCGTTCGTCTTTAATATACCTATACTGAATTTAAAATCATTCAAAGCTGTAAAATTATTTAGGTGCAACTGTTTATTTTCTCTTCATCTCTCTTAACCTTTTGTAAGGTTTACTTACGCAAAGTCTGATTTTTGTTAATACGACTTATCTTTGAGGTTTTATCCCTTAACTGATTTAATGAATTAGTTTAATTAATTACATTAATTCATTAAATTAGACGGAGTAAATCCGGGCGAGGAGCCGCCAGCTCCTCGCCGAGCTCACCGGGGTATTGTTCCCATTATTCTGCCGTGATAGCGAAGAGAGCAGTAAGTGCATTTCTGTATGAGCCATGGTTAGCACATGCTTTTGTATGTCTCAGGGTTCATCCCAGCATGCACTTACTGCTCTTTTCGCTTTCATGGCAGCAATGCATGCGTCCGCACTGAGTCTTTACATGACGGCCTACTGTTGTCATCGTGGCGCTAGGTCTGAAAAATTGCCAACCAATTTTTTTAAATAAACATCATGCAAAAAATTGAAAATTCCGCCCTCCCCGAATGAATATTACACACCTTTGTTGATCTCTTCGCGTCGTATTTCAGCGAAATATTTCCGAAAAAACCACGAATTTTTTTCAAGCTTTTTTCTCATCGGTTTTTTTTTATTTTCTGAAAATGGAAAATAGTCAGGCCAGCATTTTGTATTTCATAAGATGGGGTGTGGGGCTGTGTCACAGGTGGGTCACTAAGGTGGAGGGGATTGAAAAAATTGGAACAAGTGCATTATATACGGAGAAAAAAACTTCGTGCGTGGGACCCGAAGTTGAGGTCATATGGATCTCCGAAGTTTTCGGATTACGCACCCGAAAACTTGAAGTCCTGCAACTGCATGCTAATGTTCGGGTCAGACACCTGAAGACTTTTTTATGTACCCGAGTTATTCAGATGTGTGACCCGAATCCTTCGGTATATACCGAAGTACTTCAGATGTCTGACCCGAACTTCGGCAGCTGGATATAAAGTTTTCGGATGCGTGATCCGAAAACTTCAGAGATCCATATGATCTCAACTTCGTGTCCCATGCACAAAGTTTTTTTTTCTCCGTGTGTCATACTTGAACGGCCCTTCCGTGTAATTGTAAGTTATTGTATCGCACACTGGAAAAAAAAACACGTTGGATCTAGAGTACCGACTCTTAAAAACATTGACAAGAAAAATTACTCTTGATTCAATCAGATTTAAGCTTAAATCAAGAACCAAGTCTCTTAATTTGAGCGGATTTCCTTTTGATTTAAGCTTCAATCTGATTAAATCAAGAGTATTTTTTCTTGTTAATGTTTTCAAGAGTCTGAACTCTAGATCCAATGTTTTTTTTTGTTTGTTTTTTTTTTTTCCAGTGCAAAGCGTGCCGAAAGAACTCGCGATTTTTTTCTATACAATAACTTAGCAAAGAGTAATATATGTATGTGTTTTGCAGGTATTTTGGTAGCACGTTAGCACACACGGGGAATGTAGCCCCTGTGGTGGTGAGCGTGGGTGTGGGCGTGGAGGGAGGGAGCAGCACCCTCCATATCCCGGCGACGGCCAATCAAGTGGCGCACCATGCCAGCTTCCCAGCCAATAATACTCCCAGCAATGGCGTTCCTGTTCCCGTCCCCGGCACCGATTCGACCAACAACTTTTCACACCCGTGAGTATAAAATCACCCTCATTTTCCTCCCGAATGTATGGTTGTAGATAGATTTCCTAGAAAAGGTCTCTAAAAAAGCGCAAAAACTGGGAAAAAGCGTCTACAAAAAAGCACAGAAACTGGAATTAGCGTGACCAAAAAAACTGGATAAAAGTGTCTCCAAAAGAGCACAGAAACTGGATAAAGCGTGACCAAAAAAACTGTATAAGAGTGTCTCCAAAAAAGCATTCAAACCGGAGGAAAAGGTCTCCCAAAAAGCATAGAAACCGGGAAAACATGTCTCCAATAAAGCACAAAAATTGGATAAAATAGGAGAAATTTGATCCGAGAATATGCAACTGCTTAAGCTCTGAGCCAGAAATAATCATCAGATATTTCTCTCTCAAAATCTAACGCAGGAAACGATTCACACAACGGGAACTCACACTCGTTTTTAATTATATTTCTCCAGGAAAACTAGCTTGCATTTTCTTGAAAAAATTGTCAACCGAAGGCTAGAGCTATTTTGTGTTTTACTTCCCGTATTAACCGACTTTCGTGTTGAATTTCTCTTTGTGCGTTCTTCTTAAAATCATTTTGCATTTTCATTTGTCCAGACACAACTTGCCGGAAAGCCCGCCGGACTCCGGATCAGAGCCGCCATATTCGCCACAGGACCCGAACGTTCATTCACCTCGTAAGTTTCTCTCCCGTTGCTATCTCTTTCAGGCTAATTGCCGCAAGTCTTCCCTCTTTTAAGGCGTTTTGGGTGGAATGCATGCGTTATGTCACGCGAGGCGTAACGCATAACTTACTGTCTGCCACCACAAATCTCCTTCAAATGAGAAATTCTGCAACCCACAGCAGAAGCGTTAGATAAGTTGCATGCCAAAAGTTTGAAGGAGCTCTTACGTATCATTTATTCATTACCTTCGTCCACGGGAGTAATATAGCCTTTCGAACGCTCTTTTACTAAACATCTTGATTCATTTCCATACATTGGGCTTTATTTGAAAATCCAGAACTGTTTGAAACCTTTCCTGTGGAATTTGATTACTTTTTTTGTGATGAATATTATATGGTTTGTTCATTTTTCTGGATATGTTGAATTATTCCCTGTTGTTGATTTTTTTCCGGTGTTGTATTGGCGTGGGTATCGAAATATGCACATAGCCTGATACCAGTGATACCTACACCAGTACAATACCAGAAAGAACAAATCAACAAAAGGTAATAATTAGCAATATTCTAAATTTTGGATAAAAATGTCATGCACTATTTTGCACAACACACCTACTGCAAATACAGAGGGTGTGCAGTAAAGACGGTTATAATTTTTTTTAAAAAAAAAAAAAAAAAAAAAAAAAAAAAAAAAAAAAAAAAAAAAAAAATAGTGGTTGCACAAAATGCAGTACAATTTTGACTCTTTGGTTCTCAATTTAATCATTTTGAAGTGCAGTACTTTTTTTCAACACTTTTGTTGCTCCTTGAGCACCTGTTCAAAACCTCGTATCCAGTGCTTTAAATACTGCAATTATAAAGTCGTAACATCCACCTTTTAAGTGATTTTTGGCCTGAGAGTACACATGAAAGTCATCAATATGATCATGTTTTTACAGATCAAAAACCAAATGTAGCCAATTGCAATGCCAATTTACAAGACCTCCTTCTGCAATCTGGTGGGTTGGGGTTTGGAAAAGCAATTCCGGCAGCCAACGAAGCAATTCTGGTCCAGCATTCTCCAGCCCTGACACCACTCCTAACTCAGCAGCAAGTCACACAACATGCGCCTCTCTCGCCCATCGGCCTATCGGCCAATGGAACAACCACAATCGGCATCCCAGCCCAAACGCACAATGGAATTTCATCTCCCGAATCACCTAACATCACCACAGTTTACACGCCTCTCCATACAACATCAACCAAAAAACGAAAGTTGTCTCAAGATAACCCTAATATCCTGGTCAAACAAGAACCTGGTAGGTACTTCAAAACATTCGACTAACAGCTTTTTTTAAGAATGCCTCCAACTCTCCTGGTTCATGCTTTAAAAAGCTGTCACCAATTTTTTAACTTTTTGAGAATTCTCACAATTTTAAAGCTCTGTTTCCTCAGTTGAACTCCTGCCCTCTCCGCTATCAGTTTATCAAAATGCAGCCTCTTAAAGTATTTTTCAACACACCTTGTCCCCAAAATTGCACGTAAAAATTGATAGGCATTTCAAAAAGAATTTTTCTGTTACGCTGAGCAAATTTTCAAAAAACTTCATCTCCAAAAAAGAATGGAAATGATTGTTTTCTTGTCCAAAAATTAGATGTCTATAATATCAGTTAAAAGTCGGAAAAATAGACGTAAAAATTAGGCAAATAAAAAAATCTACAGAGGTTTAACCAGAGTCGCTTCATTTAATGATGAATTCTATGAAAAATATCAAGGAAAATCCTTGAGTTTTGGCAATTTCGTTTTACCCTTCACTTGGTGTATGTGTTCTACAATAATTTAATACTGTAATGATATTGTCTCGTGTGTCCAAGGTCATGTCTGGAAAGTAACATTCATTAGGTCGATTAACACTGTCTAATTTTAATTTCAGCTGGAACTGTGTTCGGTGCAACAGAGCTTTCGCCAGATGCCAACTCAAATCACACAGCTCTAGGGAACAGCTCAGGGTTGTCAAACATTGAGGATGACTACAGTTATCAGGAGGGCTCAGGTGGTGCTGGTAGCGATACTGGCATGTACCTCGATTCAAATTTTCAATGTATCCGCTTTCAGCCCTTCCAACAAACAGCATGGCACTCACTGTGTGACCAGAATCTCAAGGAGTTGTAAGTACCTTTTTCTGACTGTATTGATCTCTTAAGTTCTTTTAGTGGGCTGAATAATCTCCCATGTTAATCAACAAATTTAGTAGAACGTATGAAGTCTGATGAAGATTATATCGAAAAAAGGAGGCTTGAATATTTGTTACTGTAAGGCTCAATTTTAAGAACAAAGTTGAACAACTATTTTCATGCTCAAAATATTTTCTCTCAACCTTAAAATTTCGACACGAGAAAACTCATGAGTCGAGAGACATTTTGCATTTACATAATGTACATGAATATGATACTCTTTTGAATCTCTCATTTAATTTGACAAGAAATTTTCATATTTAATTGATTTTACAGGCCTACCCCACATTACAGAGTAGATGCAGACAAGGGCTTCAATTTCTCAAATGCTGATGACGCATTTGTCTGCCAGAAAAAGAATCATTTTCAGGTGAATATGAATTTTAAGTTTATTTGATATTAAATCAATGTAGATTTTTGTCTCTCGGTCAGTGCTTTCCTATATTACCCTGACATAGACGCACCGGCAAGAGGAAAAGACTGACTGACCTCACTCAACCAACAATTTTACCCTAAAACTGAGCAGCTTTTACAATCAGAAAAGGTAGGCGGCAGTGGCTGCGATTTGGAGTCAGGGTCTGAGCTGTTGAACATTGAGCATTCCTGGCTCCTCGTTGCCATTGGTTGGAAATGGCACGGGGAACAATGACAGTAGTTGTTGTAAATGTATTGTCTTGCCGCATACAAAGCTGGGAAAAAAAGTTCCATTTCAAAACTGTCTAGTGTCTATGCCACAATCTCCTCCCAAAATTTGGGAAATTCTATAATTAACAAAAATTAAGCCAAAGCATTGAAGTATGCCAAATCGTTTGTAGTAAGAACAATAGATTGCATGCATGTTGTTTCATTGTCCTTTTCTTAATGTTTCTATTGGAAGAAGAAAAATTATAATTGTATTTGAATATTTTTACCATTGCTGAGTTATTCATCATTTATGTATGCATCCGTAAATTCAAACTCATTGGTGTTTTAATTACAGATAACGTGCCACACACAGCTGCAGGGTGATGCGCAATTTGTCAAAACCCCAGAGGGGCTCCGAAAGATTTGTAACTTCCATTTACACTTTTATGGAGTGAAAGTTGAATCTCCATCTCAGACCATCAAAGTTGAGCAATCTCAGAGTGATCGAAGTAAAAAAGCCTTCCATCCTGTCCTGTAAGTAATCCCCCCCCTCTACCCCCTCTAGTGTTGCCTACTATTTTTGTTATCTTTAATGGAAGTGTAATGTTGTCTTCTCCTTTTGTGGATAGCCAGCTTTTGAAAAATGTAAATTTGTTTATGTCTCTTAGTTTCTTAAAGAGTAACTCATAGAGAAAAGTAAAAATGATTTGCCAATCAGTAAATTTTAAAAATCAGTTGATCTATTTGACAAAATAAAATTTCATAATCTTATCAGGATTACAAAAGAGTTTGCTTATTTTGACCAAAAATGGCGAATAAATTTCGTAGAATAGATATATCCAGCATTATCGTGTCCAGAAGAATAAAACTGAAGAATGATCTCCAGAGTTAGTGTATAGAAGCAGAAAGAATTCAACTTCTGTTCTTATTTTTTATTGTTTTTATTCGTCTTTGTGTAGGTTTCTTGCATTAAAAAGCTTGAACCATGATTGTTGTTTAGTTAGCAACAGGAATACTACTAGACCCTCAAGATATAAACTAACAATCTCAATAATCTTTTCCTTCCAGAGTTGATTTGCACGGCGAGCAGGTAACGAAGGTGACAGTGGGTCGACTTCATTTCAGCGAAACAACATCCAATAACATGAGGAAGAAAGGAAAGCCAAATCCAGATCAGCGATACTTCTATTTAGTTGTAGGCTTACATGCACACTGTAATGATAATAGTCACTATCCAATTGTGTCTCATGCGTCGGAAAGAATCATCGTCAGGGTAATTAGCCATTCATTAGATTCCAATTCTTTATCCTCTGTTTTTAGCCTTGAAACAAATATCAAACAATCAAGGTCTAAATCTTAGGTTCTCTTGTGACAGTTGTGTGAGCATGCGCATCCACTTCAACAGGAAGCATCAAAAGTCATCTCCTGATACGTTTGAATTCACCAATATTTGTCAGTTATTGTGTACATCGACAATTAATTGGGTTTCATTTTTCAACTAGGAACTACAAATTCTAGCTCATTTTAAAAACAATGTATACACCATTAGTTTCCCTATTCACATACATGTATTTACGGATGAGCAAGAAATTGTAGTTCTTAATTGCAAAATAAGATCCAGTTATGAGTAGAACTACCATGTAATTTTATGAGGTTGTAAGCATCCGTGGAACAGATAATATGAGCTTGTTTTATGGTTGAGTTGCCTGGCAATTATTCCAAAAAATTTATTTAAAATTTTACTAGCCTGGAAATCCTTTCCATAGGCCCTAAAAAAATAGTAAGAATCTAATTCTCTAAAAAGAGGGCATAACATCCCTCTAATTCATTGCCGTGTGTTGCTCAAGATTTCCATAATTACAGTAGCAGAATATTAAGTACAGAAAAAAAATCGATTTTGAATTATTTGTAATGAAAAGTGAAGTTCTTTTTTATCTATTCAAGATATCAACAACTCAATATATTTGGTAAGTGTTGATCTGTTCTGCCCATCAACAAAACATGCAAAGATTTGCAGCACTTCACCAATTTGTTTTGAACGTTTTGCCTAAAGCCACTAGGCCTTTTTGTTTCAGGCGTCAAACCCTGGGCAGTTTGAAAGTGACGTTGAGTTATGTTGGCAACGAGGGAGCTCTCCAGAATCTGTGTTCCACGCAGGAAGAGTGGGCATCAACACAGACCGACCTGATGAGGCACTAGTTGTTCATGGAAACGTCAAAATCAGTGGACATATCATACAGCCGTCAGACGCTCGGGCTAAACAAGATATAGAAATAGTAAGTTTCAGAATGGTCATTTTTCCTTCCTTTTTTTCCAGGTTTGCAATAACTGTGAGTCATGAGTATTCGTCAAGTTTTTGCAGTGATATCTCAAAATAACACAAAAGTGGAAGGGGTTCGTGTAAGATACAGTAGCAGTAACCAATTCTGGCACAGGAAACCCAACTAAAAATTATAACTATAACTGATTGCCAAATCTAGTTCTTGATACAGTTATGCCACTGTTTACTCTTGTTGAAGCTTGTCAGCACTAGTGTGCTCTTTCATGTTCATTTTTTCACAACTTTGTGTCTTTGCAGTGTGATACTCGTGAGCAGCTCCGAAATGTACAGCAGCTAAGCGTGGTGAAATTCAAGTACACGCCTGAATTCGCCTCACACTTTGGGCTTGTATCCTCCGGTGACACTGGCATCATCGCGCAAGAAGTACAAAAAGTTCTACCGGAAGCTGTAACCATGGCAGGAGATGTTACGCTTGCGGACGGAACAAAATACGATAATTTCCTAGTTGTTAATAAGGTTGGTTTCCATAAGTTCTTCTAAAGCTTTTGTTTATCTAAGTTGTAATGATAGGATTCAAAATAGTTTTCTGATGTTCTCAAATAACACTATTTTCATGACTAGGGAGCGTTACACCAATAGAGTTATTAAGATCTTAAAGAATTTACATTTTGATTTAATCAAACTGTACCAGAATTCTGAAATCGATCTACATACATGGAAATTGAAACAATTCAAGACTCCTTGGCTTGAATTGTTGGCTTGATAAGCTTTTAGTGACAACGTCCAGTTGCTCACAGTTCACTGTTGTAGGTTATACTGTATAGAAATTCTCAGTTCAAACATATCGCTCTCTCCTATAAAATGGAAACCTTTTGTAAGAACATATTGTTATATTTTTCTCTAATAAAATGTATGATGGTTTTCTGTAGGAGCGAATATTCATGGAAAATGTTGGTGCTGTGAAAGAGCTATGTAAGGTGACAGACAACCTTGAGACTAGAATCGGGCAGCTAGAAAGAATCAACAAGCGGCTCATTGGGCTCAAAAGAGGCGATAGTTTGAAGTCCATTGCCTCTTCGATATCTTTTCGAAAGAATGGAAATATTAGTAAGAAGAAGAAACAAATAGACAACAATGATTTTTGCTCAAATCGTGTCATACAATGCACAATCGTAATTCTCATTCTAATCATGACTTTGTGGTAAGTTCCAGGTTCATCATAATTTTTTTTTAGTGTGTATGATTGTAGCAAGGGTGACAAGAAAGACAAAAAAAATTTTTTCTCGCTTCAAGCTTCAATTTTTCTCATTTCCATTAATTATCATGCAGGGTCTTTTTAAGAAGAGTGGACTTTTATCTTACACACTTCATACTTTCCATACATAAGTGGTTTTACTCACACGTTTCCACGAAGTCAATTAATCAAGCAAAAAATTTGACGGTTGTAATTTAAATTATCAGTAATCGTTCTGATACCAATGGTGTTCTCAATTACAGCCATGATTTGCGCTTCATAGTTTGTTTCATGAGGAACCGCCAGAGAGCATTCCCTTCGCTTGACAGTGCAGTGGAATCACCTTGTAAAAAAGTCAGGTTCTATGGCCATTTTGGCCTTGAGGACCATTAAAAAAGCGGTCATTATGTTTGGTTTGGCAGAGAGCATGTTGAAAATAGAATGTTTGTCTTTGGAATTTTTGTCTTTTTTATCATCATTCATTTGAGTTGTTTCAAGAAAAACCAAATATATGAAACTAGTTAGGTTCAAATTTTTTCCTAGGAAAGAAAAATTGAAATGTCTACTCCGGCAAGTCATTTTAAATGTCTTGATTGCTTTATGCATAAAAGTGACATTTAATTATTTGAACAGTATCAGCAAGAGTAATATGTAAAATCTTTCAAAAATTTTATGATGGGTTTACCTTCCCAAAATCTGTCAAGAACTTGACAATGGCTTTACAGAGCAATTGGGCTCGAAGTCAAATCGATAACTTTGCTGTTTGAAAGGGCTTCAAGGAATTTTGATGTTTATCGATACATGTTGAAAACTCAATGCAAGTGCTTAATCTTTACTTTGTTGAGTTTTGAAAAGTAATGTTGTCTTATCCGTTTCTGTTACAGCCTTTTTGCAATGGCTGCATTATATTTCTTCGAATACACAAATCGTAGTGGTGTTGAGCATCCTGTTCATTTTAGGTATGTATTTTCTTTTTCTTTTTTGACTCCCATGGTTGAAATTGTAGCTTTTGACAAAAAAGTTTTTTTTCACATTTTGATAAAGTTGTTCTAAGTTTTTCCCTGTAAACTTTAATTACACTTGAACTTTTTTACGGGTTTTTTTGTCATGAAAGTGTCAATTTTAGGACATCTTATTAATTGGACCTCCAGCACTCTCATTACATTCTCCCTGTTTTTTTTCCCTCTTATTCTTGAAGGTGAGGTGACTCTTAGTAACAAGTTCGGAGAGTTTGTCTGGGAGTTTCTTACCTGGCTGCTTTACTTTCCTGAGTTTGTGAAAGCAAACCCAGCACAACCAGCACTTACTAATAAAAACTAATATCAATCATACTATAAATGAATAGATAAAATTACTCGTGGATAAATAATCAAATGTAAATCCAGCATAAACTTCCCTCTTTCCTTTTTTCTTCTTGTTGGGATGTAGCTAGGTGTTCATTTTTTGTCTCCTGGTTACTGGACCTTAAAAATTAATCTGTCCATTCGTTTTCAGTCAAAAATTCGGTGGGCCATGGCTGAGACCTGCAGCAAATCTTCCCAATTGGGGCTATGGCCAAAATTCATCCTATATTTATCACTCTAACTACACCAACTACATTGGTCGGAATCAGCCTGACAAATCCCCATCAAAGAACTTCAGCCGTTTCAGATCGACTGCCCAACCGTACAATTCATCAGAATTCCGCGCTGGTAGTAACAGTCAGCTGAAACACTCCAAACATAACAGGTTTGTAAAATCAAAGCAGTTTTTGAAAATTTCTGTCTCACTGCATTTCATATTACAAATGGTCTCATCAAATATGAATAAGAACGCATGCACTGATTCCTGAAAAAAACTTGTTGAATATGAATATACGAATTCATTTCTACTTTTTCAATGTTGGGTGTGTTATTTTTGTATCAATGGTCAAATGAAGACAATGCGTATCTCAATCGCAAGATTAAAAAATCTGCGACTATATTGTTTTATTTTTTTAAGGGAAACTAATTAAAACTTTTCCTTGAAATTTTGTTCGCTTTTTCTTATAATGAGTGGAAAATATTCTCAGAAAATGTCACTAGAAACTGTCAGTTTGCTTTTCCTTAAAAAAAATAAAAACATGAATAGAGACTCACAGCGTCGCATTCCAAGATGAGCGTTTTCTTCCTTCAGCTATGGCTTTGTTCATTATATATGAAGAATATAAATGCTATTATTTGATCAGTGAGAATGTGCAAGTAAATCCTACACATCATTATTTTTTATATATTAAACTTGTACTGACTTTATAAGTGTTTCTTTAAATTAGTTACACTTACCATTTTTTTAAGAATCATCAAATAATTATGATTTAAAATCAAATGAAGAAAATGGTAAATGTTTCTTATAATTAATTGATTATTAATTCATTCCCCTTGCTAGACGTTCATTTTATCAATTTTTCCTTCATTATCGTTCCAGCAAAATGAAGCTTGGCCACAGCACAGCTTCAGTCTCTGTGGATGAAACAAAAGACCACACGGAAGACTTGCTAACCCCAAGCTCTGTTGTTCCACTCGGGAGACCTCTTTACTGTGAGCGTTCACAAACTCCGCTTCAATTTTTAAGCGAATCAGCGTATCCAACACTATGTCAAGTGAGTAGAGGCCTCCTCTTTCATGCATTAAAATTCTCTCTTAATGATAATTTCTTACGAGAGTATCAACTAAATCTTAACTTCCTAACCTGTCAAATTTCAGATGTTAAATTTTGAATCATTCTACAATTTTTAAACAATAAAAAAGATTCCTAGTTTTTTTTCTTATTTTTTTTCAATTGCAACTGCTTCTTAATTGTCAGTTTTTAGACTTGTCTAAGTCACTTTTTAATACCAAGGGGCTCACAAATAATTTGAAATTTGATGCAGCTACGCCAAAGGAACCTCAGTTAACTTCTGCGATACACATTTTTCGAGGTGAAGTGAGAATCAGCATTGGTGCAAAATTAATCTTATTTATTTTAGAAGAAATTGATTTTCCCAATTATTGGAAGCATTAACTTTTGGAAACATGTTGTGTCAAATATTTTAAAAACTCCTGCCCTCGTGTTCTTGGTTTGATTTTATTGATCTCTTCATCTTCAAGAACTTCAAACGAAGTGGCTCCACAAATCAAATTTTTATTTAATTCCTCCCCTTCATCTTCAATTCTTTAATTTTATTTAAAATGAGAAATCATGCATCAAGAAGGTTTAATAAAAATTACTTAGAAAATTGAAAACTTTCCTCTCTTCTTGGCTTGCGTCTTCCTCTTTTCTTGGCTTGCGTCTTCCTCTTTACTCATCAGTCATCCTAACTTATGTTTACTTATTTTTTTGCCCCCAAAAACAAAGGAAGCAAAAGAGGTGAGTGGAAACATGTTTTGCTTTTTTTGGTCAGTATATTAGGAGGGGCTTGTAAACTTTCAACTCATTGAAAGTGAAAGTGAATTAATGAGAATTACCAGTTTAACCAGTTAGCCTTATCAGTTTTAGCTGTTGTTATATGGTACTGCATATTCAGCGGCAGGTATTTTAAGGGTTTTAAGGGTATTTTATCCCTTACTTTTCTGCCTTTCGATTCGGTACACCCAGTATTTACTGCATTGTGTGCTCTTTTCCTAGCAAAATCTTATATTGCACCCTGTATCAACCTTTCGTTTGCAGCAATACATCGTAATGTTTGATTGATTGCTCAGTAAAAAAAAAGAAAAATTGAACTGAAATACATCGATGACTAAAAAAAATTAATAATCATAGGTACAGTTCTAGGAAAGGTGAGGGGATTTAAAAATGTATACAATCGATTTTTAAATATTTTTTTATTGTATCTAAGATACCAACATGTTTTGTATGATGATCTCAACACGGAAGTTGGTCTCTTCTTCTTTTTGTTTGAATTAATTTACTCTTTTCGGAATGTCAAAGTTTTTCTTATCTGTAAAGCTGCTCATTTACCCGAGGTTATTTCTTTTATACCTGACATTTTACTAATGATGTGCAATTTTATTTCCAGACATTCTGCTGTCTTCCAGCTTTACATAATTCGGGTGGAGATGAAAATTCTGGGCTGTCCCAGTCAACTTCCAATCCTAAACCAGACGTTCCTCCTGAAAATCATAACTTCGGACGTAAGTAGCTCCTCTCTAACTCTCCTTATTTTTTTAATTTTTTTTAACTGTATCAATTCCTTGAGCAGTTACAGCTTTACTTTTTTAAAGCACTGAAGCTAGATAATTTTATTCTCTACTGTTGTAGTAAATCAAGTGGAGACTAATTTTTTCAACAGGATTTATTTATTAACCAACACGGACACACCTAAATCAGGTAGCTATTGAACAGTAAAAGAGAAATCAAGGGTTGGTCTGCCTTTTTTTTAAATTCGCCCTCCCAATCAAAAAATCTCTTCTCAGATATTTCAATTGAAGAAACAGAAATCATTTAAAAATGATGACCTTTTTATCGCTCTTTACCCATGAATCGCTAAGATTTTTGAATCGTCGTATTTTCAACTGTAATTTTGTAAAGCAAAACTGAACATAATTTTGCAGGTTTTTCAATTTTAAGAACCTGCAGTCAGGGCCTTCCCATTTTTACATGTGACAGATTGTGACCAGCCAAGTTGCCCAGTTGGTCACAAAGTTTTTGCACCCTTGAAAGAGATGAAGAGTTTCCACCTGTACCTTTATCCTTAGTTTTAGAACTTTTCTTCTGAGGAAAAATTTATGTAAATGATTAAATTCAAGCTCTCCAGATTTTATTTGTTATAGTATAGAGATCTACGTGTAAAATAACATTCACCAGAATTGTGACCATGATTTGAATTTTATCACCACCTGAAGTGTAGGCGAAACGTAGATAAATCTCATCACATCTTAAATAGGCTCATATACTTTTCTTTTAGTTTTTAATACAATAATCTTCCTTACCGTGCCTGTATTATTTCTAAAAGAAAAACCATCTGATTCACAGGACAAATTCAGATTACCCCAGCAACAAATGCCCTGGAGGATCATCCAGGTAGTGGATCTGGGGATAGCGTTAAAACCATCACAGCCGACAACTTGCTCAAAAAAGAGGTATGTTTAATAGTGTTCAAACCCCTTACACTCACTCTCTTCAATTCAGGTTTCCCCATGAGCACAAGATATTATTCCTAGACGCATTACTTTTTTTTCTTTGTGAGCCTATGATGGTTAAAAGAAATAAAACAACTAGTTCTTCCAGTGTTTTCCAAAAAAATCGAAAGAGGTCTGAACTAAAAATTTAATTTTGAATAATGGTTATCTCCTTGCAAATAGATAAAGGAGAGGTCATATTTCTAAAATTCTGTAAAAAAGGTTTATGCCATCATACTCAGCCATTTTTTTTTTTTTTTTTTTATATGCATTTGATTATTATACGACACCCTTTCAAAACATTGGGTGAATTGCTCTGTTACCAGGCACCTTCGTGGCATGAAACCAAATCGTCCATTGAATATCTTGCGAGGCGCAAACGGAAGCGAAGGAATTCTGAAGAATGGAGTGACAGGGATGTGTTTGCCACCTCTGTGCAAAATTCAGGTAAATGAGCCAAACATGCATATTTTCATTATTCTAGTGGTATGTTGTGAGATTTATGTGTATTATCAAAGTCATTTCATCATTTAAAGCAGATCTAGAATTTCATATCTTGTGAATTCAGATTTTTTTTTTTTTTAAGACTGCCGAGTTAAGTAAGTAAAAAGTAGTAAGGAAGGTAAAGGAGACTGAAATTTAACCCAGTATATTTTTGGTTCTTACAACTTTCTCAAACTCACAACTGTTGATCTATCGATACACTCCATTAAGGCTGCTCTTGTCTGAAACGAGCGGCTTTATGGAAATTTTGCCAGCTCTTCGTACTATAAAACTGATAAACATGACATCAGCTCATTTCGGTCAGTTCCAAGAACTCCTATAGTTGTGCCGTCAATAATTTTCAACAGAACTGTTTTGCAGGCTTTTTATCAAGAACGGCTAGGACACCCCTAGTTGTATCTTTCTTATTTTACGACCATCACATCAATGTTATTTTTATTTGAAAATAAATTTCAGATGCTGATCAAAACGGAGTCCTGATGCAAGTGAGAGGGCCATCATTCAATGAAACCATCGGTCTGGACTATTGTAATGTGGTCAGTCCTGAATATAATCTTTGTCTGGGAAGATCAGCGACAAACCTTAGCTATGCAATTCCTCTCAGTAAATATCTTGCTGATCCCGTTATCTCGGTTGTCTTCAAGTAAGTCCTTCTTTTTTAAATTATTTTTTCTTGTAGAGACCTGCAGAATTTTTTCCATAGCTTTTCAATATTGAACAATGTACCGTTAACCTACTTTACATGCATGAAAATGTAAAGAAACCGTCTGACAAAATATTACTCACGAGACAGCTCTTTTCTCAAGTAATAAATTGATCTGCTTAGCTTTTCCCAAACAGTATATAGCAAGTTATTGTAGATTGATTTTATTAATTTCAGAATGTAATTTTAAATATGAAATTCGCCTCTATATCATGTGTCGTAAAAGGAGTGTTGTTGTCAGAAATTCAGTTTTAAGACAGTGTTGAAACCATTGTATACATAACTCTTACTTACTGTGTATTACACCATAAGTTTCAGCATTCTAAGTAGAACTATTTGACAGTTAACAGGAGGGGGAAAAAATCTAAATTTCACCTCATATTATTGATTGTCTAATTAATATTATTGTTGTTATTGACAATAAAAGTTATTGTCTAATTAATGATTTCCTCTCTCTGTTCAGGTTTACGAAAGATTTCCAAGGAGAGGAAACAGTGCGCTTTTGTCCGGTGCCAGGAGGCCGGCAAGAGTGTCCTGTGAGCAGACCAGAACACCTATACAACTCTTCCCAGGCTGATAAGCTGGTCGAACAAGATGCAAGCGGTCAGATCTTCAACATTGATATCTCAAGTTCTCTCTTCGCAACTTTCCGATACAGGATTCCAAGGATACAAACAAACCACGTAAGTTTCAAAATTAAAAAAAAACCACCAAGGGTGGAAGTTTTCAGAGTATTTCAAAGTATATCTTTTGTTTTGTGTACGTTTTAAAAATTAAACACTAAGCGGAGATACCAAAATTTTGCTATGGATTTAATAAGATGTAATTTTAAAAGCCTCATCTTGAGTCAGTTATCTTGGCCTTTGGATTTGTATTGCTTTTAACCTTCATGAATAAAATCAGTGGCATGACCAAAAAAATTGCTCAAGGGGCTCATGATCAGTAGTATTTGGACAAAAGTATAAAAGACAAGAAGTATTTTGGACAAAACCAGCTTAACTGCATTTCACAATGCTTATTTTTCCCCTCATGTTTTGTTTTTTTCAAACAGACAGCTAAATTATTTACATGTAAATAGGTTACAAATTGCCCAGTCGTTTGCATACTCCCTTTTATTTTACAACTCCCTTTAAGAACAATGTGTATAATTGAACACAATAATTAATAATAAATACTGAACTACTGAGCGCCTGCACCTGTGAATTACTCTTATTCAATATATATTAATTTTTATTGTTGCTGAGTTTTTTGTTGAAAAATAAAAAATTAAGCAACACTTAATGGTCCACTTCATATGAAAAAAGCGCAAAATTTAAAAAGTTATTAGTTAAAGTTAAAATTCTCTAAAAATAGTACCAATAATGAACTTATCGAAAAATTTTTGGATCGAGGGGGGGCTTCAGATTTTCCTGTCTTAAATTAGCATCACTATATTTCATAGATCTTTAAAATTGGATTACATTTTGCTATAGGAACTACAATTTCAGGCCTATTTATAAAAGCACTTATCTGCATCAGGAAATTAATGGAATATACGTTGTTTCTAAAATGAGTCAAGAATTGTAGTTTCTTGTAGCAAAATATAGCCCGATTAGTCTGTCACCTATTCGTCAGAGTACAGGTACACTCAACTACTTTAAAGCAAGCAAAGTTACAACTTTTTTTAATGATGAAAAATATCTTGCTATCAATGCTAGTAATTTCCTCAGATCACACGGTTTCAAAGGAAGGCTTGTACCCCCATTCAAAATATAGACAAATAGTTGAATTTCCTCTGGCCGTGATGTCCAATTATATTAGCTCTTTTTCTAACATCCAAGGAATTATAGTTGTGAATACTCTCGGTTTTAATCAACTGTTTTATCATTTCCCCGGCAGAATGTGTGCAACATACCTGGCAACAAGCTAGGAGCCTCTTTCCTGGAGTATAACATATATTTCTATCGAGACTGTGAAGGTTGAACCTCTTCCCATGTAAGTATTTACTAATCCTAATCACGCCTATGCTGTCATGCTAAGGAAAAACGCCGCACGCGCCCTCAGACGTTGCAAGCTTTCCTCCAACAAAAACTGAATTTAATGGGAAAATTGCAAATATTATTTTCCAAAATGATCAGACAATTTTGTACACGATTCAATCTAAAACATCTGAAAAGTTCAAGGAAAAATAGGCATGAATGTTGTCAAAAATACATTTTTTATCAAGGAAAATTTGGCGACTCTGGAATGTTCATACGGCATTCTTCCATAGCACGGCAGTATCCTGTCCACCAGTCTTTTCAAGGGACTGTTGCATGAAGAAACCAACCTAAATTGGACATATTTCTATCGAACGGAACTAAGCGCCAATTTGAGTTCCTTTTGAGGAATTTAGAATCCCGGATAGCGCGTTCTGTCAAACGGGCCTAAGCGCCATGGAAAAGCATTGCGAGTATAGGACGGAATAAGCCGGATGCCCGATTCCGCTGCCAATCCAAGCCCCCCTCTACCTTTCTCACCCTATGGCGCTTAGGTCCATTTGATAGAAATACGTCCAATTGAATCTCTCATTGTCAATTTGAAAACGACCCATCTCCGTAAAATGAAATTTTTTATGAGACAATAAAAACTACGTGGTAGCCAGAAAAAGAGTGTTTCCACGCAAAAAATGAACATCCAAGAAAGCCCGATTTGGGTAATTTTTGAATTTAGAGATTCAATTCAAATCGGCGCAAAACTTCCTGACTCAAAATCATCAAGTCAATTCATGATTCTTCATCAATCTACCAATATTGTATTGTAAAATTATAACTACACAGGAAAATTCATCTCTGGGTGAACCAAATTACCTAACAAAGAATATCAACCAGAAACAAAATATACAATGGAACGTCTCCTTAGTTAGGAACATTTTTGGTTTCTCTTGTAGTTGATAAATTAACCTGCAATGAAACAGATTAAATCAAAGATAGTACAGGATGACTCGTCACCTTCCAGGCAAAGTATCACAAGCGCCATGCGACGTTTAAAAATTTTCGCCGCCATTTTATTTCTTTACTGAGAAATTGTTGGTTGAATCTGTTTGGAAATTTCACTAAATTTTATCGGCAGCACAAAGAAAATTCAGTGAAATTTTCGGACAGCTTCGTTGAACAATTTCTCTGTAAAAAAATAAAATGGCGGCGGAAATTTTTAAACGTCGCATGGCGCTTGTGATACTTTGCCTGGAAGGTGACGAACTATTGTTTTAATGATGAAAACAAGAAAACAAGCATCTCGATCCCTTCCATCTCTCCCTTCATTTTATGGGAAGAAAAGACCATTCTTATTTGCTGAATATATGTGTGAATCTTTTCACTGAATGAAGAGTGTCCTTCTTAAGTATCAGTTCAAAAGAATCACAGTCAAAAATTTTGAAAACCTTGTTTAACTAGACTAACTTTCAATTGTCCATCGCCAAGTAAACAAGATCCATATGTATTGCGGTGGCTGAAGTGCAAAACCGGTTATCTCCATCGCGGCGTTTCAAAATCTCTGCTCCTCTTTTATTTTTTCAAAGAGGGACAAGTCAACTATCTGGCTTGAAATTTGTACAAATTTCTTGCTAATAGAGAAGAAATATCAAGGAAGTTTTCCAGAAATTAAGTCAACTAGTTTTCCAATGAAAAAATAACAATGACAGGAAATTTGTAACGTCGCAATCGGAAATACGTAGTTTCAGACTTCGGCCATCGATTAGCTTCAAGACATTGCGTTTAACTGCTCATAACCTTTTTGTAGTAGGTACACAGTTTTAACTATGATCAAAGATAGACCTTGTTTAGTTAGTGGTAACAAATTTCTTCCTCTCTGGACATCAGTTTTACTCTCCTATCTTATTTCAAATTTAATTTTTTTTGTTCTCTGAAAGGTGCTGAAAAGGTGCTAGTAAAATTTGAATGAACTTTCAAATATGCCAGTAATCTAGTGTAACTGAGGTTCTGCTATCTTGTATCAACTGTCTTCAAGCAAAAAACTGTATAGAGAGGACTACAAACCAGAAAAAAACGGTGCAGGCTGTAACGCAGTAAGTAATAAATACAAAACTACGATTATGTCAACCTAGACCATTGAATCGTCCAGTAGAACCTCCTGACTATGCCGATGCTAATGGCTATATGTTGCAAATATTCTTACAAACCCATAAAGTGCGGAGCAAACTACAAAGAATTTTATTCACTTGTGCATTTATTATTTTAGCTGTTTAAGGAATTAGTTTAAGTGTTGAGTGCCTAACATTTCTCTATTTTTGGTCGTTTCGAGTTTGCTGAATGTTAGGCCAAACAAATCAAAACAATCACTCTCTTATCTTTAATCTCCCTATCTCGTTAGTCGTAACTGTAAATTCATGTATCCTCAAGTCCCAACGTAGAACAAATTACTAATTCTAGCATTATTGACGGTATCAAAGGACCTAGGTGTAAGTGTACAAAATATGTAAATTATTCCAAATATTTTACTGACCAAACATTCCAAACTTTAATTAATCCTAGATAATTTCAATTTGATATTATACTGTTTCTGTTGGTGTAAAACTAACAATGAAAAATTTAACCTTTTACATTTAAAGGAAGGCATTGAGTCGTGACTTTTGAGTAGGGTTGTTCTTCCTCCAAAGAGATTGCTTTGGCCAATGATATTTGCGCATGAAATCATGCAAAAGTATTTGAGAAACTTTTTCTCTGTGCCATCAATTTTTTAACTCGTTGACTGACGGCCATATCAGACCTTTGCATCTACAAAAATGTTTTCACAGCATTGTCTGAAACTTTATGCAGTGCATCCAGGATGCTAGGATGAATGAGATATTGGCCCCTCTTGGCACAAGATGTGGTGCTGCTGCTCAAATGTGTACATTTTGCATGTGTCAGACCCACATAATGATTGTGGCGTCAGGTTTGTGTCCGAAAAACTCATGGACAAAACAATGGGACTATCTATTGATTTTCCATGTGTGGAGTCTGATGTACAGAAGAATGTTTAAAATAAACCTGTTTTGCTGAGTCTCAGTGTATCATGAAGCTTTAATTCTAACTATCATGATCAAAAGTGAAAATAATATTTCAAAGAAATTTACATTGGATCAGCGCTATTATATAATCCTTGGAAGACATGCATGGTTCTGTCTTGGCACAGCGCTGGTTTTATCAGTCCAGTATGAAATGTTATCTGCCCTTGTGCAATTTTTCTTTTCACATTCCCTTTAAGTGAGGGTATTTTTAATTTTATTATTTTAACATCTTAAATTGGATATAGTGTTTACAACTTTACCAAGTTGTGCGTTTGTGTGCTTTGACATTATCTATGAGGGTGCAACAACAACAGTATTTTATTATGCCACTTTAATGTTGCCATCAAAGTATCGTTTTCACCAAATATTTTCAAAAACAAAGACAAAGTTTTATCCCATTAAATTGGATGATGTTTTGTGAAGTAGTAGCGAAATTCTGCTTTGGTTTAGAGCCCAAAATTAACATGAAACATAGCCTCGAAAACTTTTTCAAATTTGTCGAATAGGCAAAAGGCTTTTTTGAACCGGTTGTTTTTTAATTAAACCGGTTAAAAATTTAGTAAACTATTGCAGCGGAAGTTTTGAACTATTTCAGTTTTTTGTAAATAAAAAAGATATTATTTTAAGTATTTGTTATGGGACATTGTACCCAAATCTGCAGAGCATTTTTTTCTTTTATCTTGACTAAGAAGTAACTTTTTTATTCAATACCTGTACAAGAAGTTTTCGTGTTCTCACTGAAATTTTTCAGGCTAGATGAGAATTTAATGTAATGTAATTTAATTGATTTTTCATAAACTAAGAGAAGTCCATAGTTTCAAGGTTCAACTCCATTAAAATAATCTGCTGACTTCTCCTTTATAAGTACATCACCATTCAATTTTGTTATGCTGAGACAGAATTCTGGACAAACTTGTTGTCTTTCAGAAAATTGAAGGACTAATTTGGTTTTTTTGGTGTCTTATGTTTTTGGTTGAAATCATTTTTGGAAAAATATTGCCAGTGTGCAATCTCGTATTTACACCTTAAGAAGAATAAAAAGAATATGAGCTATCAATGAACATCATTGATTTAAACAAATTGTAATCTCAGATTTTTTAAAATCTCCACGCAAATGAAATGAAAATCTCAATAATTATGTCGGCTGACTGTGTGACGATTTTTTTGTCTCTCTTTCTGCAACAGAAGTCAAGAATGTATCTGACAATTTAGATATTTCAAAGATAAATTCACTTTGAAAGAACAAATCATCCATTCGTTTGAGACTATTTGATTCTGTGATGTTCGGAACTTTCAAAATTTTTTTAGAGTTATGTGCATACATTGAGATAATTAGAACTTTGACCATTGAATTTACTTTCAGTACAAAAAATTGTTCAATGTACATATTTTTATTTTATTTTAAACCTTTGAATTAATCCTTTTGGTTTCTAATGAAGCAAAACAAAGTGATGACCAAAAAGAGCTATCATTGATTGAAAAGTATCAAGCACTTCAAACAATCTGCCTGTGAGTTATGTAGAGTTTCGTTTTAATAGATTTGTGAGACCGACTTCTGTTGCATGAATAAAGTTGGTCTGCATTATTGCTTGTTTGAAATCTCTTATGAAAATCTCATTTGTATTCTCCACATACAGTTAAGCAAGAATCTCTTCAAATCATGTTTGCTTTCGTTAAAATAATGAATGATTCATGTGTGAGTCTCCCATCTTGAAGGGACGTGGACCTAAAGTTGCGCTCTCAAAGGTTTAAGTTAAATGTTAAGAAAAATCATAAATCATAATCTTATTATTTTCTTGGTCCACTCAAAGCCATACGTATAACCATAAATTTGTGAGCCATTACTTTCTTTGAAGTTTTTTGTTTTAAATTAAGATTATCTACTTTACAACTGCTCATTGAGTTTAAATTGATGTGCCTTGAATTACGTTCCATAAGCAGCTAGAAATTGAAATTCCGACGGACTGTATTTGCAATGAGGAACTACTATTTTTGGCTCATCCATGGAATCTCGTATCTGCATAGAGAAACCAAATGGCACTTGCGTCGTTTCTAAAATGAGCGAGACATTATAGTTATTGCAAGTCTGAGGTAGTCCAAATCAGCACTGCATGACTTACCGACGGTAAAACTTTCAAACCACATATTTCGTTTGCTGTTTCCAAATCTCCGCCCCTGGTTTTTTTTAAAGAAGAACAAGTCTACATAATTTCTGAAGTTTTCACAGAATTTTCTTCGCACCAAAAATAAAAATCATGGAAGTTTTAAAGAATTCACCTGGAATGGTTTTCCATTAAAAAATGAATTATGACAGGAAGTATGCAATGTCGCAAATCTAGATACGTGGTTTTACCGTCATTATACTTTCAAACTAATTTTAATTGAGATGCTCTAGGGTTCCTCAAAAATTCTTGATTTCATAATTGATACATTCAAGGCTATTTACAGTCCTTTTCATAAAATTTCTGGTAACTTTTTCAGTTTTCATTTTAATGCTCATTAAAAGTTTTGTGTGTATTTCATAGAAGTATTAATGGTGATACAGTATTACATGTTGCCTTCAAAGTATCCGTCCACTTATTTCTTCTCTTTTCATATTTTTATCTCTATGTTGTTGTTAATCTATTGTTGTAGGTTGGTAACACCTATCAATTTTAAAAATAAGCTAATGGCAAAAAAATAAAGAAAAACAGAAAACGAGAGCCTAATTTTTTAACCTTTGCCTTTGGATCAAAATGTTAATTCATGTCCGGTAACTTTCTGTGATGGGCCATTAGATAAAGTTGAAATCAAAGCATTTCTTTCACAATGCATTATTAAATAACTGCATCAAAAAGTTTCAAAATTAATGTGTGCATTTGCTTTAGGGACCTTCACATACTTAGGGTTACCTACTGTTCAAAGGAAGGAAATGGATGACATCATCTATTGTTTGATGATTTGTCTAATCTTGATTAGTTCTATTTTGATCAGTATTAAGTATACATTTTGTCAACCCTCTTTGAAAGTCAGTTTTAAACTTTTCATCTAAACAAACTCTTCTCTTTCAGGAAAAAAAAAAAAACAGAGGGAAAGCAAATCCTTTTATTTGAATCTTGTCTTCTGGCTTTTCATTTCTGAGTATCTTTCGCTTTTTTGTTGAAAATAAATCTTTAAGAAGTATTGAAAATTTGCAGCTTTAATAATTTTTCTTGTGCATCAACTGGCTAACACACTTTGCTCTAAGTAAAAAAGCAGGTTATCAGGCAGATGGTAAAATTCAGGACATTTTAAAATGTTCAAGCTATCAGTAAAATTGTAAATACTCCAATTGTTTTCAGGACGACTTCCTACAGTCTTGAGATTTGGATGTTTAATATCTTAAAAACTAATGAAATAAATTGACGTGTATTCCCTTCCTATTTTTGAAATTGCATTAGATTAAATGATTTAATACAAAATTTAATACTTTATCTTCTTCTGCCTCGCAATTGGGCGGATTTAACTAGAATCTGCTTAACTCTATTAAACGTTGTCTAATTTTTAATCATGTTTTATTTCTTCACCAGAAAACTAAGCAACATTCTGACTTGGAATTCCGGACTCTCAGGAAAATTCAGAAAAAGTTTTAAGGCGTTGTGTTGTCTGGTTCAATGTTTAAGAATTAAATGTGAGAGAAAGATAGGCAACATCAAAGGCTGATTACATCCACCTAATTAGGGAGAGACAGCCATAGAATTTGTCCTTAAATTAAGTTTTTTAATCCCCATATTAAAGCTGTTTGAAGTACTTCATTCAGTCCAATTCCTGATTTGACTACTTGCCTGGAACATACGCGTGTTTATGTTTTCCCTTTCTTAACTATTTTTATCTCACCACAATAAAAGTCCATTGTGTAGCCATAACATAAAGGTGCAGATATTATTCTTTTATTGTTTTACAAAATTTACCCTGTAATATCTGTCTTATTCAATTTTATTGTATGTGTCATCCCAATCCTTAAAATCTCTTTGTATTAAAATCGATCAAAAATTGCCGGTCAATTAAAAATTTTCAATCTTCTTTGACAAAGTGCCGCTTTGTATTTCTTGAAATTTGTGTACAAATTTGATATTGTAAATTAATACCCATCACTTGTAATATTGAATTTACAATCTTATCATGTGTAATACTCTTAAATTTATTGTGTGATTAAGCAGGTAAAAATTGTTTTATTTTGTTAAGTTTACTCTCTCAAACTACAATACATAGATGCAATAATTACTTATGAATGTTTTCTTTTCTTTTCTCTCATTGCCTGTTTTAGCAACATCATTGTTTTTCAGACAAAGGAACATAATTACATTTCAACACTTTCAAAATTTGTCTCGCAAATTGTACAAAATTTGTCTCACACTTTTACTCAGAAACTGTTGGCAATATCTAAACGAAAATTTTCCTGGATCTCATTCTGATTTTACACAAAAACTGCTAATTTTTTACTAAAATCGTCATTTTCCTTTAGAATTTTTGTTTCGTTTTTGAAGAGGTTGAAAAAATTAAGATTTAGGGTAATAAAGTCGTAAGGATAATTTTATATCACTTTATTTTGTATCAAAATGCATGTATCGTTTTGCTAACTAATCTATTTAAAAAAAATTCCCTTTACACATATTATTCAACAGTTTGGTCAAATTTTCCTCATTCATGGGGTGAATCGCTTTGATAACTTAAGGCAGCTTCCTCTAAAATGGAAGCGAATGTGTTCGCAAGAACGGAGATGATGCCTCCAGCAAAAATACATCATTGTCATTCATCGAGAACCTGCAAAAAAAAAACGAGGATGGTGATAATAATTACTTTCTTTCACAACTTCTGTATTTCTCTTTTGATCAGTAGTAAATTAAGTTGATTAATAATTGTAATAATAACAAATTTCTGGCCACTTGTGAGCTCCAATGAACTCATCAAGGGTTTTAGACCAGAAAATCAGACTCAGCGGATCATTTCCAAGAGGACCAGCTTCATTTCAGCCCGATCGGAAAACTTTCAATTTAGGCTCTAAAATTTTAGTCTATGTAACTCCTACTATAATTAGCTATCACTCCTCAAAAAACACAGCGTATGATGTAATCCACAGCAGTGGTGCTTATAATTGTTTCTCCAACCTTGGTTTCATCCTTATCTCATGTGAGGCAACCAGCGCAAGTTTGTGTTTCACTAATTGTTGAATCAAAGGTGGAAGAAACCATGATGCACAGTGCCGCAATGGATATCATCATATACCGTGTTTCTTGAAGAGCAATTTACAACTCTGTTAATTTCGAAAACTTGGTGTTTGGACAAATTTTCCTCTAATTTTTAACCTGAACCATCAAAACGCCAGTCTACTGTTTGCGTACTTAGTTAACCCATTCTACTAATATTACAACCAATAAATGTTTTAATTTTATGCAAGAAATTCAATTCTAAATTTCATGGGATTCGAAGACACTTACCGAAATAGCCCTTTGTAGAGGTTGAATGGGCGATGGTCTTTCGGCGAGTAAATGTCAAAACAATTCAAGAGTGACACTAAAGTTCCAAAACCAGAGCTTGAAGTTTCATTGTAATTGATCACGAAAGACTTCCTGAAAACAAGAAGGAGGATTCCTTATCAATAACGAAACTACCAGACCATGCATCTCGTTTGCACTGTTTAAAAATTCCCACTCTAATTTTGTGGAAAAATAATAAATTAAAATCATCTCTTGAAACTTTCACAGGGTTTTGCAATGTTGACAACACACTTTTTAACTTCCACAAAGCTTAGGAAAAGAAGAAATTGCTCAAAGCAGTGTTTCATGAATTTTTTCTTTCATTAAATAATTACATAATTCTTTTACCTGCCGACAGAAAGTTTTTCGGTACATCTCTCTCTGTTGTTACACTGCTCCTCTTAGAGAGAGGAACTTGGATCTGTTTCTGAGATTAGTAGCATTATAGTTCTTCAGACTTCAGAATTTTTTCATGAAAGTAATAGTCATGCAAAAAAATGGTCAATCAATCCATAATTCACAAGCAGTTGACACAAGATAGGACACGTTACAATGTTCCATCTCTTCTACAAGGAGTCGATCAAAAGTGCTAAATGGACCTAGGTAAGTCGCTTTCTGTCCCTTTAATGTATCAGTTACTATAACAAGTGTTCAATAACAAGGGGCTCTCCTGAAACAGTTAACCTGTGGTTCCAAATGTAGAGAGGTAGTTTTAATGTGAAAATCTAAATGAATGAAACATTTCTAGATGTCAGGGGATTGCATGGTAGCCCTCATACCTACTTACCCTTTAAAGTTACGCAAGGCGTTGATGGCAGCCATGTTTGGTTCTCTCGCACAATTGGATATGTCATGCTCTGATAAATGAATTGTTGTGCTCGACAATAATTTATTGACTATTTCATTAAAGTACTGGTGGCTCTTCAGCTTGTGAGGGTGGTCGATCCATGCATCAACATCCCTGAAAAGAAATCATTGAAATGGAGACAGACCTTCAAGTGATAAGAGAAAAATAATCCTAAAAATGTGGCCTGAACTGTAAGTAACAGAATTTTAGAATATTGCTAGGATCACACTGTGCGGGAAAATGAATTAGAATTAGAATTCCAGAAATTTTCATTTGAGTCAAAAGTATAAACTCTAATGAGTATCAGTACAAGACTGAGGTTCAGCTCTGGCAGATTCCACTATTTGCAAGTTGCAACTCAGATTTCCCCAGAGAATAGTGTGGACCCACCATCATTCTACCATCCTGTTACTTTGAGAGATATCACTGTTCATTTAGAAAGTCAAAATTCTACCTTAGCAAGCAATTTTTGAGTTTTAACACATGAGAACGAGTAACGCAGATATTAATTTGAGATAATCTTGTTTTCTGAAATAAAATTACCAGTGTGGAAAAAAACAAGTATCCAGATGAGGTACTTACACATTAGTTTCTCTCTGAAATGTGAACATTTTTTGGTATTCATCAGATGCTGCTGAAGGAGCGATTGGTCGGCGCAATACCCTGGAGACATCCGGAATGATAGTGTATCCAGGCAAGGATTTTAACGTGCTACTCCAACCGATGAAATTTCTGAAATACAGAAATACATTTTAATTATCCTGAGAAAATGATACAGATGATGTCCACGCGGATTTGTCACAAATATATTGCAAGATCTTCATTACAAATACTTCATGGTGAGTTATCAAACGTTTTGGCTTAAGAACTTCAAAATTAAGAGCATCACAAAACTGTTTTTATTGAAGTAAAAACGAAATAATGATGAAATCTACCTTTCAAAACAGCAAGAAAAATTTCCACGTAGGTAATCTGTGTAGATTCTCATTGACATCAAAAATCCAAGTCCTGGAAAGTATTCAACGCGGTAAGCTTCATGCTTTTTGGATGACAAGTTTTCGTAACCTGTGCCAAAAAAAATAAATGAAAGTTTTTATGAATGTCCTGACTAATTTATTACATTCAGTTTTAATAAAAATAGAAAATTCTGTCATAAGAGTGACCTTGGACGAATGTTGCAGGTATGGTTTAAAAAATCATAACGAAAATTACTCTTCCCCTCAACATTTTTTAAACCCTGTTCATCTTATTCATGCAGGGAGACACGTCTCAGTAAAGGAGCTCTCGCAAAAGTGAAGAGTAAACGAAAATCTCCTAACACGTTTTCATTTCTATGAAACGTGGGTCAAGGAAAATCCTATGGGATACAGAGTGGAAGCTAAAGAGACCATTATTACAAAGTTTTTAATCATTATTGGAAATGGTTTACCAAAATTATTTTCATAATCATTAGCTTAAATAAATTCAAATATTTTGTTCAGTAGATCATAATTACCATAAGGGTTCCAGGCTGAGATTCCGATGAGACTCTCATCACCCTCCATGACTGGCAGAACTTGGGCCATAAAAAATAAGAAGTCAGGCGAGAGAATCAACTCGCTTTCAATAATAATGATGTATTTTTTCTGTGGATAAAAGTTGTGTGCTAAATCAAGGGCCATTTCCGTTTCACCTGAAATCAGGAAACATCAACTTGTTATCAAGAAAAACTCAAGAGCTCCATCATCTACAAACTCACTTTATTTTAACAGGGACAAAATAATTTTAGTCCTCAGAAATGTGAACGTTCTTATATTCTTAAGTAGGTAATGGAAGAAACTAGAGACATACCTACATAGAGTTTTCAAATGAGGGTTTATTAATCTTCAAGTCTCTTGTAAATTTGGATTTGTCAGAACGAAAATATTCGGAGCTTTGAAGTCCATTTCAGTGTCTTTTGGTCAATAAATTTAGGTATTTTAAAAAGCACGAGTGCATGATGAACCCGCACCCTGGTTTGCAACTCTGTAGGCTTCCAATCATAATTAATTTTTTAAATGGGAAAACGCTCAGCATCATATTTTGAAAACCTAGTTTTATTTTCTCTGATGACGAATATTCTGTGAAAATTTTGAGGAATTTTTTTGGTTCTTTCTCCTTAGATAAAATAAACTGGGAATGGAAATTAAAAAATGATTTACTAGTTTTTGCAGTTTTACTGTCGATATGGTCTTTGGGGCTTTATAAAGGCTTCTCTGTGGAGGTCCATACGTACAAAAATAGTGTCTCACTATATATTGATACCCTAAAAAGTGTATGAATATTATTTTTTACTACCTACGTCTGCATGAGAGCAGAAATTTCACTGCAACTGAGAAGCTCACATCGTTAACTGTCCTCCTCCTTCATTTTTAATGATCTATGGAAACGGAGCTAAAATTACAGACAGAAATGGAAGTTTTTAAATTAAAAATATCTCACTTTGATTTGAATAGCTTTGTTGGTAGACATTGCTCAAGAAACCAAAAAGTTTCGCCAGGAGTGGGATATGCGTTTGATGGGCATAGTGCAATAAGCGAACGTTGACCGGCTGGATTCCTGGCTGATGAATCAAAGAAGTCAGAGTCATGACCAGAAAAGACAATGAGTCTGATTCATTTTTTCCGCACAAAACCATGATTGGAGTCGAGTAGGCGGCATTCCCAATCAAGCTTTTGTTTGTCAGCAATGCGGCACCAATTGGTTCATGACGATTGTTTCCTAGAAAATGATGGGAACTGTCAAGCGAATTGTTGAAATATTGACGACAAAGTTAGTAATACATTTAAGATATTAATCAAAAAAATTTCAAATTTTTGTGATATCACAAGAGTAGATTTAAAGTTACATCTCCACAACTGAAAACAGAATCTATCAGAGAATTTTCGAAGGAGGCAAATGTTGAGAGCAGATATTTCATCCTTTTGTTAAGTTACTTAGGTACTTTTGATGTAATAGATTAATTAGGCTTCTTAATTTAAATATCTTTATCGTTACTTAAAAAACTACAAAAAGATTCACTTATCAATGTTGACAAGAGGCAGGTGCCCAGTTGTAGAAAAATCAACTGAAGTAAATGAATTTCATTTTGGTTTAAAAGAAATTCAATTGAAAAATATGATTTGAATCAATGTCACATTATCTTGTACGTTCTTGTGCATAAATGCCATGTTGAATTTTTAGAAACATATGGAATCATGATTAAGAGAATTTTCAAATATTTTTTATTGTCAGTTAAAAAAAAAATACTGGCTCTAATGATGAGCTTTTTGTAAATTTGTGGAGGATACGATTTTCACGGACTTTCCAACTTTTTCAGTATCCCATAAACCTAGGAACATGATACAACTACAATGACATTATTTCCTACCTAGACAAAATTCATCACAGATAAGCTCAGGTGCTGTATCGCAGAAAGATGCACGGAGCTGATTACACCGCGGAAAAGGATCCGGAGTGATTGGAAGTGGAACAACTGGAAAATCAATCAGTAATAACAGAATATCAAAAACTTGATGATATCCCCCTAATTCATGATTATAAAGTGCATAAGAGTGTAAATATGAGTGAAACGTGTAATATGATTATACTTATGATTATTTAGGAGAAGTAAAGGAAATTGAAAACACCAAAGCATCTGATGATGCCTCACCGAATTTTATAAATTGAATACATTTGCTAACTAGGAGGATTTTTTAATTTTTAACTTATGTCCTTAATTGATGTACCTCTCATGTAAGAAACTTGACTTTGTTTAAATTTGTAACGGCATGATAAATTAACAATTCATAAAATATTATATATTATTAATACATAAAAAGCAAAGAATAAAAAGGTGCATCATTAGACATAAATTCAATTTTCAAAGAGCGCATACCTATTAGGTGATGGTTGAGTTGGTGAATAAGTATTTCAAAAAATTCAAGGAAAAAAGTTCAGACAATATGTATTACGAATTTAGGCTTTCAAATAATCGGAGGTTTTAAAGTTCATTAATATTCAGACATTTTAATAAGTTTCGAGGATGATAATCATTAATCAGATGTATAATCCAACAGACTCCAAGACGAGACAAGTCTGCAACTACTGACGTGGTAAGGAAGAACACTATATGAGCCTTTCAGGCGTTGCCAAATTTTCCAAGACAAATCACGAATTTTCAGGGAAATTGCTGCAAGTTTTTCTCCCAATTGATTCGAGAATTTCATTCGAAATCAGATCTAAATTACCTATCTGAAGATTTCGGGAGAGTATATTTACCTATAACTCTCCCTTAAAAAAAAAAAAAAAAATTTATGGGAGGAACTTTGGCGACTCTTGAATGTTCATTCGCGGTTTTCCTTGGCACGGTAGAGCAGTCATTGTTATGTGCCACTCAAGAGAACACTTTAGGAGAAAAAGGTAAAATCTCATCCATAAAAATAATTGTAATTTGTGTGTCTTTAAAACGATGATAGCATGCTTACTCTTCTTAGGAATACAAAGTTGTAGATTAATGGGCTCTCCCCACCAACCGTTCTTTGCATTGTGCAATGTCTCATACGGAGTGAAGCCAGAGATGCCTTTTTGAGATATCATATACCACTGTGAACGATACTGAAGATCTTGGATCTTACCACTGCCTGAAAAAGAAGAAACTTTAGTTTGCAAAAAACCAATACTCCTCGTATGTGACAAGGTGAAAAATGACAAAACCGTAATTTTATGAAATTTCAAGGCAATATTTAATTAATAAGAAAAGTAGCAGTAGGTTTCTAAATTGTACATTTTCAGAAATGTATAGATTTTCTTAAAGTTAAGATTTAAAAGTCCATGCAACTAAGATAGTTTGTTTAAATCTTCTTTGGCACAAAAATCTGCACAATTCAAAGTTTCAGTCCCTTTATGCAATATGACTACGGTCCAGGGCCGGATTAAGGGGGTGGCCACATGGGCCGCGTCCCATGGCGGCTGAATGTAGGGGGCGGCAAATTTTGCAATCTTTTTGAATGTAGGTATCAAAAAAAGATGATAAAATCGGATTCAGAAAATAAATTACAAATGAGAAAAGGCGACAAAATCTCTCACTTCCTGTAAAAGTAAAAGTATAGTAATTTCTAATTTTGTCGTCTTTTGGTGATAGGTACAAGAGACAACACCTTTAATTAGTCGAGTTAAGAGAGAAACCAAACACGCAATTTGACCTTGAGGGGAGCGGCTTAGAGAGCAATGATGACGAGGACTGACAATGAGATGAAAAGGAGAAGCCCTCAGCGCGGCGGTCGGCATGAAATGCATAGCGCCTATAAGACTGCAAGAATACCTCACGCATTGCGTCAAACACCGCGGGCAGCAGCGGTCGGCGGGAAACGCATAGCGCCTACAAGACTACACGAATACTTCACGCATTGCGCCAAACAGTGCGGTCCGCGCAGCGGCGGAAGTTAAAATTATTAAACCGTATTTATGTATGTTCTTTCATAATTTTTTCGTTCGTTTGTTATAAACGGAAGACCTTGTCCAAACAGGGATAGGTTTACGGAACTTGATTTATGCGTATAGTTCCGTGAACTTTTGTTAGTGTTGACAGAGCTTTCACAAAAAATGTGTCCAACAGGAGTAAACGCGTCTCATACACCCCTCCCCCACCAGCACGTTCACTTAACAAATGAGAAGGGGGCGGAAAAATACAGGCGGCCCATGGGCGGCAAGTAGGTAAATCCGGCCCTGCTACGGTCAAATGGAAGTACCTACTGTATTTACGTAGAAGTTTTCATTTGAATCAAGCGAATCAAAGAACAGCTAATTGAAGCTTGTGAAATCATACCTAATTGAAAAAGAGCTTTTTTGGCTTCTGATGTAAATTCTTTTGATGCTTCATCAAAAGTGAATATAATCAGAATGTCATCTAACTCCATCATTTTCTGCAGCCATTCTTCCAACGTTGGGGATGAAGGAGCTAAGTATGTATCAAAATTGTGTACAGCCAGAATTTCCCCGTGAAAAGGATCAACGATGGCCGCATTCAACCCTCGTCCTACCCCATTCACACCTTCTGCCAGCACACTATGGCAAAGAAGAAAAAGACAAAATTACAATAAAAACAACTACCTGTTTTCAAATAAATAAAATACGAGGACTAAATTATACCTAAAATTGAATCATGTCTTGCTAAATTGACGGTAATTAGAAAACCTTAATTGCTGGAAGGCAAAAAAAAGAGAGATAAAAATTATAGAATGGTATGCTTTGGTCAGTTTACTCATGATATCGAGAATTAAACTTTCAAAAGAAAAGAGGTTGGGCAGTTTTTTACGAAAGTCAAAAATGAGCGGAAAGTCAACTGTAAGCTGAACTTTGTGGCAGGTTGCAGCAGCACTTAAGCGGTTTTAAATACAAGGGAAATTTGAGGATTTTGCAGGAGTGTGGCGCCACACTCTGTGGCGCTGGGCCCGAATTTTAGCCGAGATCCGAGCGTGGCGCCAAGATCTGTGACTCATTGCACCGCAGTCAGAGTCTTATGCTAATTTTTTTTTCCATTTTCAGGACAGTCCTGCAAGACTGCAATAAAATCTTCAAACGTGGTTTAGGTATGGTCGGTCAATTACTAAGCAATTCAATTTCGACAAGTGTGCCATTTTATGATGCATGAATTCAAATACATAGCACAGTGCAACAATTAAAATCATTTTACAATTAAATTGAAAAAATATTTAACCATGAAATTACAAGATTACAAAAAATTTTATAAAATGGTCAAATTTCCATGTGTGCCAGCGGTAGACAATTTGCAATGCAAAAAAAAATTGCAACTTATTTAAAGTTTATAACAATGAATTAAATGACAGACAGTGAATAGACAACACTTATGTGAAACACTATAAGAAAGGCAATTAATTGCAATCGGTGCTACTTAGAGATGAAGTAATGTCTGAAGAGTCTCAGAAAAAAGATTAAGTTATGCAATTAATAATATAACTTGTCATGTACTTAATTATTAAATTTTATCATATATCTCCGGCAGTATGTATGTCTACTGCCAGTATTTGACCAATGCTGCAACGCAGAGGGTGCAATGGTGCATAGAGCAGTTAATCTGAGGGTTTCATCCCTGGTAAAGGAATACATTACTTACTATTTGCCAAAAACACATAATTTAGGGAAGTCACTTTTGTTCTCTCCAGTATAGAGATGGACTGGAAAGGTGTCGTTCATACACTCATAAGGAATTCCGCAGTTCGGTAGGATCTCTTTAATCTCGAACGATGCCGAATCCCGGATGTGGCTTGTCCTGCCATCTGAACAAAGTGATATGATATTGATCAATAAAAATTGTAAATTAGGAAACAGGAGAGAGAAATCATGCCGTTTTAGAAATTTGAACATTTTTGGAGAAAAAATGAAATATATCTTGTAACAATAAACAGGAGCAATCCCACCTGGCAACTTGCAAAAAATAATATTATTAAGAAGTTAATTTTGGCAGTGCTAACATTGTTACAGATACTTCTGTTTCGCCTTCATTTCTCGAGGTAGGCAAGAAAACAGCATGGGTGCAATAATAGTTTGCTATTCGAGGATTCAAGTCTTGTGCTGTCTTGCTGTCTACAAATCTTTGAAAAGTATTAATGAGATAATAGAGTTAGTTAACAGAGTTATCAGTATTAATGAGACTACAGACAAACTCCAGAAAATGCTCTCTAGTACCAAAAGAAGCATTTACTTACTTATTTTATTTTTTTATTTTTTCTTGGCTTTATTTGGTTTTTTTCCAAGATTATGATGAAAAATATGCTATAATAAAAGCAAAAGAAGAGAGGAGAAAAAACTTCTTTCATCGAGATATAAGGCATAGGAAAAATTGGAGTGCACAAATAAATTAGATGCAGACCTTGAGAAATAAGGGTTGTATTGCTCAGCTCACCAAAGTCACTGGTAAACTCAGGGATCCAACATTTGTAGAAATTGGATGTGAAGAATGAACATGAGATTGCTATAAAAACTCCTCCAAAAAGAATCTTCGGGTTCGCTGAAAGCAATAAATACAAACATAATGAATTGATTAGCTCCACTGAATCTAAAAAATGCTATTCTGAAAAACGGTGGATAATACGAGTGCATGGAGTTCACTTAACTCATAATTTCACAGCGGATGTCCATTTATGACTAATATGGGGGCAGTCTCAGCAGATCTTAAAATGCCTTGATAAAAAGTCTGAAAAAAAGTATTCCATTTGAGTTAAAAAAAAATCTAGAATGTTGCTGTGCAAAGATGCAGATGTTAAATCACCTCCGCTATCCAAAAATGCAAAGAATTTACTAAATTATTTGGGGGAAAAATCATAACTGTACTGAATTTCCAAAAATAAAAATTATGTAAATCCACAAAAATTATTGATGACTAAAACGCCAACCTTGGAAGTGTAAGAATGAGCTAACTCGCAGGAGAACTCACCTTTGAACATAAGACTTCTTGTAACAGGCAGTTTGAAGCTTTTGCGATGACTTCTAGTTTCATAAGTTGGGATGCGGTCTTTCCTTTCCCACCAACCAGGTGTAGGGAGAGGAAAACCAGCAGGAACTATCGCAAAAATGGTGCTTATGCAGTGTTTAATAAAACACTAAAATTTATCGTAGAGGCTTCCTTGATGGATCATTTTCTACTATTGGGGTACTTTACAAAATAAATTTAGGGCAACCACTTAAAAGCAAACTTTAAAGTTAGAAGTAAAATGATAGTCGGTTGTCGAAGAGTTTCAACCAATTTAGTTTGAATTGAAGAAAATATTTCAAGACTTAGAATAGATGTTTAAGATACGATAGAATTCTACTCATGAAGTGTTAAGGTTAAGTATCTGTGGCTTGAATCCTTTAACATTCAATCGGACAAAACTTCAGGAATTCTCCTGAAAAAGACGGATTATACCTCAACAACTCACTAAATTTCAAAGAAAATGCGCACGAAAGCCTTGTACCTAAGTAGTTTGAGAAGATATTGGTGGTGAGCAACAATTTGACTCGGAGAAAAACACAACAAACAACAATCAAGAGGGAGGTTAATTCAAGGCAAAATGCTTTCATTTCGTGTTATCGCTGGCTAGGGGATGATACTCGCTCACCAATCGATTTTCCGACCGGTTGGTAACGCGGAAAGTCACCCCGCGATACAATACCGAGTCGGAATCTCGAAAAGGTGAGGGGGTGTTGCGGGGATGAGGGTGGAAGTTGAGAGACAGGGGAAACCGATCAAAGACGCAAGTTTGATTTGCGCGCGCGCCAGCGCCCGCGCAAATCCAGCTCCTCGCGCAGCGCTGCCAACCTGATCCGCGTGTCACCGGCCGCAGTGATGCAGATGGAGTAGAGGGAAAGTTTCCGAAACCGACGATGAAAATAGAATGACTGGTCTGAATCTGGGTTGCAAAAGTGAAATGAAAATTATGAAAGATGGAACATTTTTGCGGAATATTTTATATAATTTCAGAAAGCTATGAAAAATACGAAAGATATAAAATATATTTTCAGGGCTTGGCATGTGACACGAAATTGAAAAATCACCAAAAGGCGAAAACCATCTGCCTTTAATTTAATTTTTCACTTTATTTCAAAAAACATTTTCCATTATCTTTAATGTTTTCCTGAAATTTCAAGATTTTATTTTTCATTAAATATTGCAACCCTGGTCTGTATTAGCCCCTTAAGAAAGGCCAGTAGCTTTATATATCTTCTCTACTTAAGTATATATCGAGTGACCCGGGCTGCAATAACTTGCAATTACAGGGTCAAAATGTTCGCTGGTGTGTCGATGTGTAGTGAGTGTTGCTCGCTTACCAATTGCAGGGGCTCTATTTATTGGATTGATTGCAGTAAAATTGTAATTAGTTGCAATTTTGTTTCTGCATTGCAAATTGGGTGTACTTTGAAATTCGTTTTATAGATCGTTCATTGCTGATGCATGCCAACTGGCGGATTCCGGCGTCGCTAACAATAACCCTTGCTGACTCCAGTAATTTTCATTACCACTTATTTCTTATTCTATTTTATTTATTCAGCAAAACTTTCCCCTTAATTTGTATTATAGTCCAAATCATTATTGTTTTCTTTAATATCTATATATTACGCACTTTTACTGTAAGTGTATTTCATAACTGTGTAATTTATTGCGACAATAAACAATTAAAAAAAAAAAAAAAAAAAAAAAAAAAAAAAAAAAAAAAAAAAAAAAAAAAAATAGATCGTTCAAAATTGGCCCTCATGGACGAATTAATGTGCATAAATATCGCGACCTTATGGAAGAAATTCAATTGCATTACATTAAATTGCTGCCTTTTTTTTCACATACGTATTTTATTTTCAGTGCACTGTGCTTCATAGGATACTACTCTGCCGAAAAAGGCACGTTGCCTACTAGAGATGAGCGCTGGTTACACTGAAGAAACAAAAACACTCAAGTGGCAATGAAGTTCGACGGACCCTTAGGCGATTTGATCTGCAACTAAAAACTCTGGCCGGATGAAATTGAAAATTTGGAATAGGCAAAAATATTGAATAAAAGAGACAAAATTCCGAGGAAGTAACCGTTTACTATCACTTGATCAGATACATTTATGTACAGATAAATACAAAATATAAAAACAACACGCGTACAAAAATGCAGTTCTAGCAAGAGGAGACTTTCTTACACTGGACAGGTACCGGAGGAAAATAGTTGACCGCTGAAGCTTACATCGTCACCTCTTAAACTTTTGGAAATAATGGACGACATTGCTGGATCCAGCGAAATGGCAACATTGTCTTTTCTTCATTTAAACCCGAGGAAATATATCGATTCTTGGAGAGGCCAGGTGCTCCGACAAGAATCGATTATTTGACATAGGTTCAAATGGAGGAAACCCGATGTTGCCGAATTCTGGGGCTCTTGCGGAGATACGCCCTTACGTCAGAGGAGCGACGAATTGTACGGCAAACGTCTTCACTTTTCACTACGGAAAAACAGCATGGGCCAAATTCAAACTTTTCTGAAATGCAAGAGAACAGCATGTTGATGACCGAAGTGCGAAACCACGTATCTCCGTTTGCAACCAGTGGTGTGGCGTGAACTGCGATATATGGATTGTTAAGCCATTTAAATCTATGAAAAAGGATCAGGATAATCAGGGTGTTCGCAGCGGACACCTTAATAATCGATTCTTTACCATAGGTTTAAATGGCAGAACAATTGATACATCGCAATTCACGCCACGCCACGGTTTCCAACGTAGCAGACTTCCGACCATACTTCATTTTTTTCTTGGAAAACTAGTTGACGTAATTTCTCAAAAACTTCCTTGATGTTTCCTCTCTGTTGGCAAAATATTCTGTATAAATTTTCAGCCATTAAGTTCGCTAGTTCTCCTTTGAAAAAATAAAATATGAGCGGCATTTTTGAGACACCACGATGAAGATACGTGGTTTCATATTTTAGCCATCTATATACATTCCGTTGCTTTTCATGGAGGGGGCCATTTGGCTTAATTTTTTTTCTTAATTCTGCGCGTAAATAATCGACCCCATCTCATTCCCTTTTATACCTCGTTTGCCTAGAATTTAGAGCAATATTTTTGCGATTTAAGCAAAATCAGCAATTCTGTCGTGCTAAAGAAGAAAGCCGTATGAACATTCGAGAGTTGCCAACTCTCCTTCGATAAAATTTTCATTTTTTAGGATGGATATGCATATTTTTCCTTTAAATTTTTAGAACCTTTAGGTAAACTTGTGAACTAAATTATCTGAAAAATTGGAAGAAAAATATTTATGAGTTTATCAGGAAATTCGTGTTTTAGAATTGGAAACTTGGCAACGCCTGAAGGTTCATACGGCGTTTTTCCTTAGCACGGCAGTATTCTGAACATGATGCGCTGTTCCGAGGCAAGGTAGTGTGGAGGTAAAAGTTCAGGAGCGTATCCGAGTGGCCTGCGGCAACGAATATTATGAAGAGAAGAAACAAAGCAACTGAAGCTCTGGTCAAAATTCAAAAGTTAGCGTTGGAAATTTGAAGAAACAATTATTCACTACAACTACAACCAGAACAGAGACTATCAATATCGTGGGAATTTTCGAGCTGCGAATTTCTCTCTTCTCGACGATGACGTCACCAGGAATGATCGTATCACGTTCCTCACTCTGCAATTGAAAAGAAGTCGTTTAGGATGCTTGAAATTGCGCACATGCTAAATTAACATTATGCAAAAATTAAAAATAAAATTGAAAGTCTTGTTCGTACGAGCTCTCATTAAAAGTTTTTATAGATAGTGCATGCTTACTCCGAACCATTGGCCAATGATTTGGCCCGGATCAACTCATGAAATCGAAGAAAATAAAACGGCATCGCACTAAAAACAAAAAGATGCCCCAATGCAAGATTGAATGAAATTATTGAGATAATTACATTTAGGTAATGGGAAGCTTTTTTACTGAATGTCCCCATCACACATCGAGACACTACATTTTTTGTTTCCGCGTGATTTCGGGAATCAATTCGTACTACAAATCGATGACCAAAGTGCGAAACCACGTATTTCCCCTGGTAAAAATTGGCGATAAGAGCTGCGTTTCATAATACCATAGGAATTCTTATAGCCGGCTAAAGAAGGCTACAGAAAATCATATATCTGGCTGTAGAATGCGGAGAAAATCATATGGCCGGGCTATACGAAGCTATAAAAAAGTATGCAGCTGGGCTGTAGTTCCTATCGCCGGGCTTTACACTTTATCGCCATTGGCTATAAAATGCTATAAGAAATTGTGTAGAAATTCGTGTGCTTTGGAAATCATTAAGTTTGATACGGAACCACCTTAATATTTACAAAACACACATTATATTTTCCTTTAATACAATTTTTTTTTTTTTTTTTTTTTCATCAATTTAAGTGAGAATAATCCATACAGGATGTGCAAACATTTCAATATCACGAGTTGAATAACGCTGACTCCGCCAGATTAAATATTAGAGCCTAACACAAAGCGGAGCGGCGACGCACTGGCGCCTACATCCTACAAACCTAACAGGGATACTTCTCGCATTGCGCAACGCGTGAAGTATCCCTGTTAGGTTTGTAGGCGCCAATGCGCGTTTCGCGCTGGCTGCCCGCCTGCCGCAGCGGGCCACGGCGCTTGAAGCAACTATATCACACCAGAGGTATTGCACAGTATCATACGAAACTGAAGGCGCTCTAATAAATTGGTAATGGCAGACATCCATCAAAAGTACGGAGCTTTCCTCGCAAAATAAATCAAGATACTACGGCCCAAAAAGAGAGCGGTATAGTCGAAAAACTCACTAAGTCCTAGCATCCGTAATTATTGACGTTTAGCATACACTTTATCGCCCGGCTGTTGCTTAGTCGCCATCGGCTATAAGAAGTTGTATAGCCGGCTATAAAAGCAATTAGAAATCTTACAGCCGGCTGTAGGTCTATGGTATTTTGGAACACTGATTCTACTGCCAATTTTTACCAGGGTCCGTCTGCAACATTCCAGACTTCCTGTCATACTTCATGTTTTCTTTGAAAAACTAGTCACCATATTGTTTCGAAAACTTGTATGGTTTTTTTTCTCTCTCGGTAGAATATTCTGTACAAAAAGCTATAAATTTGGTTTGTTTTTCTTCGGAAAAATAAAATAGGGGCGGAAATTTTGAAACATCGTGATGAATGGACGCGGTTTCATACTTTGGCCATCAAAATGCGTCTAAAATGAGAAACAGCAGAGTTCTCTGTCTTTCAAGGCAAGCTGGAAATACCTTCACAATTTAACGCCCTACCACGCAAGAGTAGGCAACATGACCTGCACTGAGAAACTCCGTCATTCGAATGGGGAAAGGTTTACAGTTGATGTTTTAAGTTTTAAACACTTGCATATTAAATGGGGCTAGCCAGCCCAGCGATGATGGGCAGAAGAGATCCATCTTCCTCGTAGCACTTGAGAACGGCTCCCCCCCCCCTCCCTTCTTTCAGGTGAAAACAAGTAACGACAAATAAGCGGGCATATTGTCAAAAATAACAGTTGAAAAATAATTTGACGTCTGAATTCTTATTCTTTGAAAGAAATTAAATTTTATTTTTGATTTTTTTTTTTAAAAATTCCCTTTAGTAACGAGCCATCGTTTCATGGCAATCTCTTTGGGTAACTTCTACTGAAGATTACTACCTACTTCATCGACTCCAATATTTGTTTTTTGCCCCTTCTTCGATACCTACGTAAACCTTGCGGAGCGGAGAGAAGCATGCAACTTATCGAGCTCTTGCGTCTGCTGTGGTATCACTCGAAATTGAAGGCACTCTCTCATTCGTTTAAACCAACGGTCAACGAGG